TTTCTCTGAGAGATACTCCAGATTGGAGATTGTGCCAACAGCAGCGGACGGGATGGCCCAGAATATAATCAACGCGGTGATCAGAGCTTTGATTAAGAATCTCCGCGCGATTGTCTCTAGCCAGGACATTGACAACGACGCCCATATTATCTCGAACGGCCTTACACCAAGAAACCGCTGAGCCATATGCAGCGGGCGATGGTGCGTCAGCGTCTGGTAGGCGTGTTGTGCATCTGTGTGTGTCTCGAATTCCACGAAAACAGAAGGCAGCATGCCATCGGTTTTGAAAAGTTGGTCTCGTCGAACTCTGGCAATTTGGTTGTTCAGCTTCCTGATCTGATTCCTTGTCCATTTGATGGTATCCACACGGCGGCCATAGTTTGCAATTGGTCTGTGGTGTGGCCTCGAGCTATGAGGAATCCATTGCGATGCAACTGATCCGTTGACATCCGGGAGGGCTCGTTCTTGCATCTCTTTCGAAGGGTAAGTGGTATCCTGTGAATCGTCGGACGCTGGGACAATTTCAGCCGTGCCAGATCTCGAGACTGATTTTCTCCCATTCTCGCTACAGACCTCAGTCTCTGTCTCGGTCTCGAGAGAGTTTTTACTCGATTCTGGCTGTTCTCCGCTGTCAGCTTTCTTGAGTGCTTTCGTCCTTGCCCCGTTGGCCATCCTGATGAGTTCAAACTCGGCCTTCTCTAGCCGCATGGCCGTCTGTTCCCTTTCCTTGACCAGGCGTTCGAGCTCATTGGTTGTTTGGGGAATCCAAATCTGTTTGACAGAGCTTCCAAGCATCCATCGGAGTCTCTGTTCATCGAGAAATTGTCGGGGCACATTCATGTAGAGCACTGTCCGAGAGGACAAGCGGTTTGCATAAAATGGTGAAAGAAGATACGCTTGCCGTAAGTTGATATAGTAAACACATTCTCGTGAGACCATGTACAGGATGAAAACTGCAAAGCACGTTACTGCAAGTACTGGGTCGTAGTCTGGTGATGACTTACCGAAATAGACCCATGACAGTAGGGTATGGGCGTATAGGCGATTGTGGTTCACAACATTTCCCAAAGTCAAGCAATCCAGACCGACATTGCCAGCACCGCCTGTCGCGTGGAGTGGGAGAAGAATAGGCCAGAGAAGCAGTATTCCCACCAAGCATATCACTGCCAACACCCGAAGAAAGCGCAAAAAGAGATACCCATCAAGAGATGAGTGATTTAGCACAAAAGTAGAAGGGATGCGATAAAAGTCTTTAAACCAGCTGAACCACCCATCGGGAAGAGGCGCGCTCCTTTCGCTTTTGAAGAAGTTAGCCTCACGCAGGTATCTATGGGAACATCAAGACGAAAAAACATACTGTGGCTCCAGGCTCTTCAGAAACGCTCTTGGAGAGTATACTCGAGGACATTTGCGTCGCAGGGCTATGAAGATGGTGATACACAGGGCAGCCCATACTAGGACAGGCACTAGGGTCGCAACAAGGTTGCTTGTCGCAGAGGAATTGGAACCAGAAACCAGGCGAGACAATCCAGGGCTCGTAGAGTTATCACGGGCCGAGCCAACGCGTGGATCTGTCGTGTTCATAATTGACATTCATTGAAATTGTTGCTGCCGCCGTCAAGCTTCCAGGAAAGTCCAATGAGTGAGGTTGGGACGTGAAAAAACATTGCAGTCTCGAGGTCAGTCGTAAGTCTAAATTCTGAAAGCTGAAAGCTGAGCCGAGCAATCGCGAGGGGGACACGCCCCGGAAAAGCGAAGGATTGATCGGCGACAGTCGAGACTCGGCCACCATCGATTTGACGATAGGCGGAGCAGGGGTGCAAGACCAATGGTCGGGCTTCGTTGGGCCTCGGAGGTCCAGGTAGCATCGCTTCGCCCAGATAGTTCTCCAGAAGGCCAACCTTTAGCCAGATTTAGGGGCAACCAGGCCGTGGTCCTGTTCCGAAGACTTCCTTATTGGTGAGCATTCAGGGGTGGAGGACCCCGAAGCGGGGCAAAACCTGCGTCTTTACGTATATCAAGAGCCTTGGGAGGAATACTTTTCCTCTTGGAAGTGGCGGTACGCCCCTATCCACCAGACAAAATGGGAATTCCTTGCTCCAATGGGGGGTTGTGCAGGGGACTACAGGCTTCAGCATCCCTGTAGACCGAGATTGAGTGTGATCAGCATGTGCCTCGTACTGACGGGTATACCGAGGACAGAGTTCCAAACTCTTCGTCGAAGTACTTTGCTGCGTCAAACTTGAAAATATTTGAGAGAGATATGCACACAGTCTTAGCCTGCTGGTCTTCGGCCTGCCTTCCACGCGTCTTGCAGCGCGTGCCTAATGGCGTGAATTGACCAAGAATGCCGGCATTCGAGGGTGAAAAGGTCAATCTCGATGATCACGGATATGAACGCCGCAGATGGATCCTATCCAGTGGTGACTGGCGTGTTGGGCGCGGCGAGGTGTCAGTGACAGTCGGTGCACAGAGCTGCATCTAAGGCATTGTAGATATCAGAGTCCGGCCCTATTCTCCTCTATGGGGGGTTGGATGACATTACTGACCCGTCGAGATCAGCATCTTGGTGGATGATCTGAGGTTTGAAGTCGTTGGCTGCACAGGCTCCCATTTTGTCTTTCTGGGCTCTATCGGTCGACACATTTTGGTGATGCAGATCGTTGTCGTAGCATCAGTGTCAGTAACAGGGAACCTGAGATGAATTGATAGAGAGTTTTTCAAGGCCAGGACATGACCGGAGGGACTCGTCGTTCGTGGAAACCATGCAGTAGGAACTGGTGTGAAGGTGGGCGCACCCTTTCTCCCCATCAACTGCAACTGCCTATTCAGACTCCGCAGAACCCCTTGAATAATCACGAACAACACTTTCACGCCCAACACCTACCTTAGTAGTTACTTCTCGTATATCTCACCGCTCAGAGATATTCTCACTCCAGTGAAACCACTGCGAACATCTACGGACGGCAACCCGAGCCTCTTACGTACCACACATGGACAGAGTCGCCTGGGACCTTTTCAATTCAACGGGTGAGGCTTTTTTACTGGGTGCACGGAATCTGCAAGGACCATCCTGGCTGTGGATACCCCTACTGGAGCCAGACAAAGCAAGCAAGTTCAGCCGTCAACCAAGTCTGAAGCATCCAATCGACGAAAGATGCTAACTAACAAGGGCTAATGTAGGGTTATTTCGCCGACTTCAACAATAGGCTGCCCTATGTCCGATTCCCCCGGGTGCCGCCTATTTGGAACCATGCCTAGACAAGAGCCGGAGTAGAGCAAACATACCAAGTCTGAAGACAAATGTCTGCCCAAGTTCCAAAACAGGGTTACCGGACAAGAGACCATGGAATGAGCAAGAATGTACACGTTCCCCAGACCTCCTGAGTACGCCTTGCCTGGTGCTATCTAGATGCTACCGGTTTCCTAATAGAGGAACCAGTGAGAGACACTCGCAAGTCCTCTCGTTCCTGCTCAATCTTTGTATACCACACCAGGAGACATGGCTACTCTCCTACACCGGTACGTCAACTAACTTGGTATTATCTATAAAGTTCGTTTTGCCCATGGCGCAACAAAGGGTATCTGTTCAGCAGGGCGCAGCCGTCTTCTCGGAACAACAACCTCAGGTTCGTGACCCCATCACCCTTAGGTGTACGGGAGAATATAAACAGATTTAGGAACCATGCCTGGCCCTCCGGGTCCTCAGGAACACAAGTTCAACAATCGGCAATGCACTGTACAGGGCCACGATCTGAGTGCATTTGTCAGGGACATGCGTCGCGGCGAAGGATTGACACCAATGGAACGATTCTTAGATGATGCGCACGATCGTCGCTGGGTTGAAGGCAAGAGTGCAATGGATAAGCTGTTAGATTGGGCGTGGGTTGGAAAGGGGCCAAGGCCGAAGCTCTAAATCTGGTGGCTTGGGAAGGACTGCCTCACTTCTAGATCCGATAGGGCGCCGCGCTTCCAATTTGGGGTACCGGTGAAGAGTTTCCTGATGCTCACCCCACGAAAGGGCAAACTAAGTGGTGGTGGGGCTGGTTGAATCGTCTGAATGCACCAAAGAAATACATAATAATCCTCCATAAACTCCTGACATACCACACTGGCCATCAGTGTCAGAGAAGAAAAGAGTGCACGGTGCTCCACTAATCTACACTCCCATGGATTCTTCTGGTAACGATTTCTCTCAAGACCCATCGGGGCTACAACATCTTGTTTGGAATGTCACCACCGACTGGAGCTCAGAGTTCTGGCCGGAATGGCCCGATACGCTTAGGCTTGAGCTTCTCGACGACCTTGTCAATCCATCACGTTTGACTCATCAACACAATGCGGACAATGCCAATGCTGCTCAACTTTCCCTGCCATCTCTTGACCACGAACTAGCACCTACCTGAGTTGCCTATTATAGCTGGCGCAAGGGATCCGTTCTTTGGATCTCTCGAGTCTCTGCCAGTCTCCGATGTTGTACGAGATTTCCCATTGCAGACTGTGCACTCTCGTCCTGCCCAATGCTGCAGAGATCGCCAGCCAGCCACAACTACTCTGCGTGCTCGAACACGGAGACGACGTAGGTTTGGATGGAAACTGGGTGAATCTCCCTGTCCGACTCTCCGGACAGGATGCTGGCTATTTTGGTGGGCATATACAGCGGTTAGATGGCGGGTTATCGACTGCTAAAGAAGCACTCACGACGCAAGCTTCTGTGCCCACCGGTCTTTGTTGAGATTTGGTGAAACAACAGGCGAAAGGCCGACGAGGGGCCACTCAACAAGAGCAACAATCCCCGCCCTCGCATGAACGAGCGAGCTGTGTGAGAGGCAGGCAGAGCATGTGCAAACTCATCACCACGCCTTTCCCAATTTGAAGCGGATGTATGGGCATTTGCGTTAGCTGAAGAAGTATATCAAGACAACCTGCCCAGGTCTCGTCAACATCAATCCTAGACACCCTATCTACGACGGCCAAGTTTTGGTTGCATCTTTCCAAACATGGCCACGGCAGCTACTCTTCAACCTGCTTCAGCTCTCCAATATGTACCTTCTGCAGAAGACCGTCTTCGTCACACGCTCCATCCATTGGCCAACTCCAGTTCCATTTCTGAGCAGCTCCCCGATGGCTTCCCCTCGCACATAAGCTCCCCATTGGCATGGGATAGTGGGGAGATGAGCTCAAAGGCACCAGAATGGACACTTCGGCTGTCAGCAGACGACATCACGTCTATTGAAGACGCTTTGGCAGGCTTCAAAGGTACTGACCTCGTTGGCTCTGCTGTCACAAATGCCTTCTGATTGCTAATGATGATGACGATGATGTCTTCAGAGCTCGAGATTCCGTGGAGAGACCTGTCTCCGAAATCTTTCGCCGTGTCCGAAGATCTGCGAAAGCGGCTCGAGAATGCTGCCCTTGGAATACATGGTGCACCAGGATTTGTTCTGGTCCGGGGGCTTGAGCCTAGGCGATACTCTATCGAGGACTGCATCATTATACAAGCTGGTCTTACAAGCTATATTGGTTCCACAAGAGGATACAACGGCCCCAGCGGAGCTGATGTTCTGAGTAAGGCCGAGCCCAAATCGCAGCTTTGATGGTCAACTAACGCACTGTGGCTCACGTACGTGACCTTCAAACCTTCTACCCAGGCGACGATATAGTCTCACCCACGTTCACCAACAAGGCCATGGTACAGTCTCCTCCTGTATATGTGAACGAGTTCCATTCTGACTCACACAGACAATGCATACTGACCTGGGTGATGTCGTGAGCCTGTTCACGGTGCATCGAGGATCTGAAGGCGGATCATTCCGCCTGGTTAGTTCGGCAACCATATACAACAAACTAGCCGTGTCGAACCCAGGCGTTTTACGGACCCTCAGCGAGGATTTCGTGTTTGACACGTAAGTCGACACCTCTTTCTTCCCATAGATTGGTCAATCGCGTGACATTTAAGAACTCATATTGCCGTCCTACCAGGCTCCATCCAGAGGTACCCAGTTACAAGAAGCCCCTGTTGCACTATCATGATGGCAAAGTCATCCTCCAGAGCTTCCGGCGCCCCTTCAGTGGCTTTGGAAACATCAAAAGGTCTGTTCAGCTACCGCCTCTGTCCGACAGGCAGGTTTTTGCCCTCAACGAGCTCTACTTCCAGGCAATGGATCTGTCCATGAAGATCGATTTCCAGAATGGGGACCTGTTGCTCTTCCACAACATGGCCTTGCTCCACTCCCGAGACACTTATAAACCAGACGAGAACAGCCCCCGACACTTGCTGAAGATGTTTGTTCGTAGCGAAAGCTTAGGCTGGAAGATTCCGCCGGTCCTGGAAGATCAGTGGGAGGAGCTTTATGGCAGTCGAACGGTCCCGCACCAGGAAGATTTCCCTCCAGAACCACCTTTCCATGCTGAGCGAGTGCCTTATAGTGGATGGGCTCAGAATGGATAGTTGGATTCATAAGACTATTGGGAGGGACACATAACAGCATCGAGAGCTCGCTGTGACGGTTGAATAGTCAATACGGGTGAATGGTTCTCTTTTGACATTCTGGTATGATATGATTCTCTTTAACCTTGTCGACGGTTTCTATTATGATACAAGCAACACGGCCATCGTCAACTTCTTTTTTGATCTCAACGCCTTCCGCCTCACTTTGAAAAGGCTCATGTCTCATTCGTTGACCGCCCGGGAGGACTCAACCCGGTTAAGGTTCACTGAGATGATGGTTTGTGCATGACAAGGACACCCAGCTCTGCCTTATCGCCATCTACCCTGACAGTCCGCTTCTCAATGAGCACGAACCCCAGGCTCTGGTACAGTGGGAAGCCCATCGGACTGCTCTCAAGTCCCAGGTCAACACCTTCTTCCTCAGCCCGAGTGAGACCCCACTGAACGATTTTTGTCGCGGCGCCTTGTTTTCTGTGGTCAGGGTGCGTGAACAACAACTCTAGGTGCCAGTTGTCGGGAAAAGCCTTGCGCCAATAAGTGTCATAGACCTCGTCCATGACTTGCTTAAACGCTTCGACTCGCAGCATATCTGCATCTCGATGTTGATATTGCCAGGCAATAGCCCAGTTCTCAACACTGGTTGCCAATCCTGAAGCCCAACATCAGTCTCTGCTTTGGGGTTGCATATGAACGTCACCCGAATTTGTCCCGGCTAGTTTTCTTTTGTCTTACCTTGAATCCAGTCCAACCAACCCTGCTTCTGCCATTGTCTCGCTGCCTGGGTAGAACTATTTCGCTGCCACAGTCCAACTGACACCACCGTCTCCTCAGCACCTTTGTAATGAGGCTTCGTGACCACTAGTCAGGTCATGTCGGGGTCGAACAGGTTGCCCTTGAGTCGTTGGAGCCAGAAAAAGTAATTGTCCTCTGGGTATTCATGGCGGTATCGCCAGAGGTAGTCGAAGGTAGGGTCATCTGGGAGAGACTCGACACACACTCGCGCTATGGCAGCGATGTCTCGAGCTGTTGCAAAGCGAAGAGTCAACGCCATTTGGGTTGTTAGGCCAGTGAATTGGGACTGTGGAAAAAGCGTTTCGGGCTGGAAAAGACGTGGACGATCTCCAAGGCGTTTTTCACCACTTTTTCAACGCCATCGTCACATACCTCACCGGTACCCTCGTTTGGTAAACGGTTCACCTGATGCCTTCACCGGTGACCGGTTCCAGTTCTCAGCCTGCGCCCTCAACATTGTCCTGCCTGTCACCGGGTCCTTAATCGGGTAAGGCCCCTTGCCAAGGCGCACCCTTCAACCCCTCCATGTACAGCACTACAGCCATTGCCTTAGAACAACTGCAAGTCCCTCCGTCTTGTCAATTCCTTCATTCCGGTTAATGCAGCTGCAATTCCTATGTCTTCTGAGGAGATAAGTGAGACCACCAACCTCCTGCCAGACTCCAGCGAACCCAACACCTCTCAGAGAAACCGGTGGTTGTTTGCACGACTGGGCGCAGCCTTGCTCTGGGGTGGCTTTGTCACGGCCACAGATGAATCATTTGTTCTCGCGCAAAATGGACAGATAGGTGAGTTGGCATTTTGTGCGTCTCCACTGTACTAACACGGAGAGGCAGCATCCCGGTTCTCTCAGTTTCGCAATTCCAGCCTCTTGATCATCGTCTATGCTATCGTAAATACTGTCAGCAATCCTCTAGTATGTCCCGCATACAATCCGCTTTGCAAACTCGAGCATTTTTGACAGTCAGCAAAGCTAGGCAAACTAGCTCAGAAGCAGGCCAAGTCACAAGTTGTCATCGCTAGCGCTCTTCTTTTCGGACTCGGCAATGTTTTATGGTGACATCCAGCTTCACGATGACAGATGGGCACATGCTGACGGTTTGCAGCTCAATTTCTGGCAGATGGCCTCTCATCGTGGCCTCCAGAGGAATTGTCGGCCTCGGAGGTGCAGGTCTGGGATTGATGGCCACAATTCTTTGGAGCGGTATGCTCGCTCCCAACTCATCAGCTCGTTCGCCATCACCGACCATCTGACGACGAATTGTGCTTACAGATACCCAAAGCCTCGCTGATCTCGCAATATGGCACAGCTATTCAGTCGTAGCTGAGACACTAGGATGGGTTGCTGGTGGTCCGACTGGTGAGCTCGTGACAGACGCGAGCAGTTGGAGAGTGTTCGTTCTTCCCATTATCACCAATGTTTACGCCCATGAGATTAGCTGATCTTGTCAGGATGTTTGCCGTGCAAGCCTCCTGCACAGTACCTGTCCTCGCACTGGTCTTGTTTCCTCCTCGATGCACATGGCCAGGAGGACTTGAACCCACAAAGTCGGCAGACCTGGTTCCAGACCGTGGAACAGAGCGCTCCGGCTTCGATGTCGTCGGCGCCGGTCTATGCGTATTTGTATTCCTGCCGCCTATCATCGCACTTTCTTTGGGAGGCGAGCATCTTCCTTGGCGGCATCCAGTCATCATCTCACTTCTCTCCGTCACCATCCCAGCAGTTGCTGCCTTTGTTTTATGGGAGCTTTGGACTACCCGTGAACCGATTATTCCCATCCGTCTCATTTTTGGCGCCAATTTGTCCAGGCCGTTTATTTGCCTGCTGTTGCTGATGATTGCCCACAACTCAGTCAGTGTCTGCACTCTCCAAGCACTTTCAGAGAAACTCATCCGCTTTTAGGTTCTCTTCTTGCTCCCATTATATGCCCAAGTCGAATACTTCGGACTTGCCAGATCCCATGGAATTGTCGTATCGGTCTTCATGATATCCATGACACTAGGGGCCGTCGTCGGCGCAAGATTTGTAAAGCGATACGGACCGAATCTACCTTTGGTCGTGACGCTCTCTTTATTGGCGATATGCTTTTGGGTTTTGTCACAGGGCCTAACCGGTACCGTCCTTGTGATCAACCGATAAAATTCTTCCACTGATATCGACTAGCACCAAATCATTGGCTTTTCTTGCCTACAGTGGGCTTCGTTGGACTGTTAGCAGGCACGCCGCCTAATTGCCTGCTTGTTTGTGTGATACGATTCAGTCCACCTCAAGGTCAGGGACGGTCACACCAAGGCAGAACTACGCTAATCACTTGATAGATCGGGCGGTTGTAATCAGCATGTTCCAGGTCTTTGAGGCATTTGGGGGGGTTCTTGCTATCACGATCACGTCGGCGTCCTTGCGCTTGCTTACCATGGCCGAACTTCGGCAACGTATCGGGACGGACCCGGCGTCTGAAAAGGTATTTTGACGTCAATAATGTGCAACGGTCGTCACCAAACTACTGACATGGCAAATTCAGATGTTCAAACACTTCTTGGAGGATGTGGACTATCTGGGCTCTGTTCCCAGCGACATGCGAGAGGCTATGCAAGCTGCGTACGGTGTTGCTGCGAGAAAATGTTGCCGTAAGTCACTTTTCTGCACGTAAGGTTCCTACTCGGGTTTTGGATAAACACTGAACCTCTGAAGTCATCGCTTTGACCTCGTGCATTGCTGCTGTCCTAAGTGCAGCTATTTGCCACGCCTGCAACTGGATCCAGAGAACTTGCGGTCTGGCGATGACCCTGCAAGCGGAGGTTGCATCGGACTCAGAGACAGATCACATCGACACATAGCCTTCATCTGGCTATAGCCAATGGAGCGGGCCCATCGATCAGCTTTTCGGCGGCAAACGGACATGACGAGCATATGGGATGCTAACATACAAAGCTTCTGCTCCTCAAGCATTCCCTGTTGCTCTCCTCGGACCGCAGAGACCATCTACGCGCACACTCAACCTCGACCTTTACGACAAGTATCTCAGGCGCCAAGTACCCAAAGTGCCTAGAAATGATAGATCGAGAGTACTGGACACGGTCGAAGCCATTTCAAATATACTGTCAGCAACTCTTATCGCAGATCCGGACCGTTCAATCACTCGCTCCGTACATGTATGTGAGATGCAGCAGAGGGTTCAACCGAGATATCTTGCCTGCGTCGTTAGTATTGGAAGACTCATTTCTGATGCACTCGTCTTGAGGGTCCGCATCCGTGGTAGCAACCGCTGGAAGATTCCATTTGATCGGTATTCATTGTCCAGCCATGCAAGACGACAACTACAAAACTTTCCAAGCCACGAGTTCTTTCAACGTGACGATGAGGAACTATGGTAAGTGAATACCCAGCACGAAGAGACAGCGAGATGAGCGATGGTCAAAGTGTCTAGAGGACAAATCCGCCCAGGGGTACGGGGTCTCACTTGAAATGGCACTTATACCCGGAATAACCCCCTCCTCGCTCGAAGCAAACGCCAGTGCCCCCTAAACTTACTATTTCACAAGCAGAATAGTATTCTCGGAACATTCCGTTGCCCCTCAACTCTGCCCCAGAGAAGGGTACAAAACGGGCAACGGCGTACTTCCCCATTGAGATTCTGTCATCAAGTCATCAAGTTAAAAGGCCCAGGGGCTGTTCAGGCGTAGAGATATGTGTCACCCGGCATTCTCTGTTTGGGCCGTCCCCGGGGGTCTTGTGCTTCTACACGAGATGGAAAACTCATAAAAGGGACCTGAAGTGCCCGTGCTTCTGCTCACTGTTTGTTCTTCGGTGTTATTCATATGCAAACTGAGGGGAGCCAGGCTGGCGAAGATGGCGTCTGCAAACAAAACCTCACCAGATGATCTGACAATTGAGAATTTGACGCCCCATGTCATCAAACTAGGTTCAAACATCAACGATGAGCGCGTGAAATTCGTCTTCGCAAAGCTGATCCAATACTCACACGACTTTGTCCGAGACACGAAACTGACCACGGCCGAATGGGAGGCGGCATGGCAGTACCTGACCGAGGTTCGTGTGCACCACACTCTGAGCTCTTAATCCACCTCAAGAGTCGAATTCTAACTGAAGATTTTCTGCTCGACAGGTCGGACAGTTTTGCACCCCGGACCGGCAGGAAATGATCCTCCTCTCCGATGTCCTGGGTATATCGGCGCTGGTCGATGCCATCAACAACCCGACTGCTCCGCGAGCGACGGAATCGTCTGTACTAGGACCTTTCCACAATGAAGCCCACGAGTTCGACAACGGCCAATCCATCGCTTCCAAGGGAGCTATCGGAGAACCCATGCTCATCCGCGGAACGGTCACTGACACCGAAGGCAATCCACTGCGCGGCGCCTCGGTAGATGTATGGGAGACGAACGGCAACGGCTTCTACGACATGCAGGACCCCGAAAAGGACGAACCGGACTGTCGCGGTATCTTCCACACGGACGAAGAGGGTAGGTTTGCACTGGTCGGCGTAAGGGCAGTCGACTATCCGATCCCGTTTGATGGACCGGTGGGTGTTCTGCTACGCCTGCTGAACAGATCGAATGTGCGACCAGCACATGTGGTATGTTCCCCTATTTGCCCCCAAAAGATATTGAAAAGAAATTGTGGCTGAGATCACCTATCTCGTGAAAAAGCATTTTGTGCTCCAACACCCAGACTGCGTTCGACTTACCACGGCGTTGTACTCGAATGACAGCACGAACGTGGCGCTGGATCCCGTCTTTGGGGTGAAGAAGAGTCTCATTAAGCAATTCGGGTGGTCGGATGACGCCGACCTAGCCAAGCAGTTTGGGGTTGAGATGCTAGAAAGGGTCGACGCTCAGGGTAAGAAAACGGCCGGATTCTGGACGCTGGAGCATGATTTTGTTTTGGTCAGGAGATAGAAACTTTGAGAGTGTCTTGTCGCTGTATAGGCTGCTTGAGAGAGTACTCCTTGAGGTCTGAGAGTAGTGGCAAGGGGGTGCTAGTGACATGGTATAATTTGCAAATGTCTTGGATCTTACACACAGAACAGAGAGGAGAGGGACATCTGAGATGAGTACAAGTAAATCAGAAGCGTGCACCTCCATGGCCATATATCTTGTCGAATACGCCTTGTAGGAATCGAGTGGTTGTCAAGCGCAGTGACAACGAGACAGCGGGTGAATATCCATAGGGCCTCGCACCTCTGAGAGCAATGATTTAGCTTGGCCATTCCAGAGCGCTGTTGGATCATCTCATCGCGCAGGTGTCCACGTGAAGAAGTGAGAAAAGTGAGTGAGAAATTTGGGAAAAATGTGGCCTTGTCATTCGCCGAGTTGAACCGAATCTGTCAATGCGGCCATTAACGATCAACGATTCAACGGAGATGAACGGCGTCAATGGGGACGCGTCTGCAATACAACCCTCGACGAATGATTGACGAGCAGCATAATCAACGTGTGTCGGCTGTACAGGTTCCAGATCCCTTGCCACTTCGCCAAAGGTATCCAACCACATTGTCTCGTTCAGGATGCTAATGTTGTATCTGTAGTGCCTGTTCTCGACCTCTCTAGACCTCAAACATCGATGTGACCTGAATACCATGGAAAGAACAAACTCCAGGAGACGCAAGGGAGGAAATCCTAAAGAGAATGGCTCGCATAATGTTGTGGCTTCAGGATCCAAGACATCAGCGAGTTCAGTGACAGACCAGATACCAACACCTCCAAAGACACCATTCGGAAATATAAAATCGGCTGGATACTTGTTCGGCCTGTTCTTGTTCCTCCTCGTGTCTGCCTTACTTCTCAATCAGCTGGACGGTGATTCACGGCTGCTCAAGGACGTCCATAACATCTTCGGACATGGCTTGCCAGACCACAGACAGACCAACGGTGACATTGCGATAAAACTACACCCCGAAGCACATACTAGCCGCCCGCCGACTACATTGACCTTCGACTGGGAGATTACTAAGGGATATCGATACCCAGATGGTGTTCGCAAAGAGGTATATCTCATCAATGGCTTCTTCCCAGGCGAGACGATTGAAGCTCGTTCAGGCGATCGAATCATTGTCAATGTCACCAATCTCCTCCAAGACGAAGGCCTCGCCATACACTGGCATGGATTAAGAATGGAACATGCCAACGACATGGACGGTGCGGTTGGCCTGACCCAGGATCCGATTCTGAGAGGTGAAAGCCATCTCTACAATTTCACCATTGGGGAGGAGGAGTTTGGCACGTTCTGGTACCACGGACACGAAAAAACACAAAGAGACGACGGCCTGTATGGTGGTCTCGTGGTCTATCGACCACTCAGCCAGCTCGATGAGAAACAAAGATACCGGTATGATGAGGAGATTCTGCTGCTGATAGGCGATTGGTATCATCGACCAAGCACAGAGGTACTCCGCTGGTACATGAACTCTAGGTCCTTTGGGAATGAGCCTGTGCCGGATTCTTTGGTGGTGAATGGCAAAGGAGACTTCTCCTGCGACATGGCAGTTCCAGCAAGGCCGGTGGAGTGCGTCCCGTCGAGCGAACGAAGTGATCGGCCTCATCTACAAGTCGAAAGTGGCCAGCGCTACCGTCTACGCTTAGTCAATACGGGCTCGCTGGCTGGCTTCTCGATGAGGATGCATAATACGAGCTTCTCCCCTTTCCAGGTTGATGGCGGTCACGATATCACAATGGTCGAGGCTCAAGAGGTCGGGATCGTCTATCCCGGAGAGCGCGTGGATGTCATTCTACAGACCGGTGCGAGCGACGGCCAAGGCTACCTTGATATTGAATTGGATGATGAGAACTTCAAATACCCGAATCCAGCCCTCGAACCGTTGCAGAGATTTCCTGTCAAGCGTGGAACCAGATCTAGTTACCAGAGCCAACTTCTTCAACCAGAGCTCGAATACTACAACCTCCAGGCAGCGTTGCCGAATAACAGTCTTCCGATTGCGTGGTCGGATACACCATTGCAGTTTGTCGTCTACACAACAACTCTCAAACTGGCTAGACACCACAATATCCCCATGGGCTTCATCAATCATACGAGCTGGACACCTCAGTCGCCGCCATTGCTTTCCCTGCCTCGAGATCAATATAATCAGAACCAGCTGTCGCCACACATCCCGCTAGTCAAGGATGGTCATGACACTATTGCTGGCGGTTCTGGCGGATGGGTCGAGATTGTCATCAACAACCTCGACGACGGTGGCCATCCGTTCCATCTACATGGATACTCCTTCTACGTCGTCTCCGTGTTCCCACCACCAACCCCCTGGAGCAGTGAGAAACCGCCCTTCACCGCAGGAGGCACTGCCATGTACAATTACAATCCATTCGCCAACCCACCGTCAGAGTCCCCTGCAGGTCTGTACAATTTAGAGAATCCGCCAAAGAAGGATACGGTCTTCGTCCCCCAAAGAGGCTACGCCGTGATCAGGTTCCGAGCCGACAACAAGGGTACCTGGATGATGCATTGTCACGTCGGATGGCACCTCGGGAGTGGCATGGCCATGAGCTGGGAAGTTAGCTGATGAATTCGGATTGTCTCTGATCACTCAGCGACAGGAAGAAAGTCACCTTCCCTCACCTCCCTCGTACAAATACACGCTGAACACATACCGGTACATACACAACACATGCCATTTTAGGAAGGACGCAAACCCTAGACGTGTGTTCATTGGTTGTTGTCCAAAGATTCTAGTCACCTTCCTGTTGATGCCAAAGCGTCGAAGATGGTCTGCTGCGTCGATGTCCGCTGGGTTGAGAAAGCGAATAGCGCTCGACGCCACAACAACGTGTCCGCAAATCTGGCCATTTGGGTACTTTCAATTATGCATATCGTGCAGATCCCAGCTGCACGACATTTTCTATTGTCACATTGCGCACCTCTCAAACTCCATTCGCCTGCTTGGTAAGGCAGCTTCGGTATGAAGCCCGCAGCCTCGTCGCTGCCCAGACTGTACCGCAAGCCGCATTGGAAACCACCACGTGCACGAGGGGATATACGTGCTTTCCAATTGAGTACCAGTGATAGGTCGGTACAACTCCGGCGGACAAGGAACAGTGCACTGGACGAAGTAACTATTCAAGGAGAAGGACAATAACCCTATATAGGACTGGGGTCCCGTATATTGCAAGGTGAGGGACGTACTTTGACGCTCTACCAACAAGTACGACAGCCACCATGCGTTTATTCTCCGGCTTATACGCTGTGCTTGCCACTGCTTTCGTCGGAAGCAGGGTCTCTGCAGACTCGCTGGCGAGCATCAGCCATGTGGTCCTGTTCATGCAGGAGAATCGAGCTTTTGATCACGTATGTGAGATTATAACGATGAAGGGTTTCTGCTGATCCCGCGACAGTATTTTGGCACCATGGCTGGTGTTCGAGGGTTTTCAGACCCCAATGTCCAGATCAACCCCAACGGCAAGTCTGTTTGGTATCAGTAGGTGAGATGCACCAGTTGGTAGGGAAAGTACCTGAGACTCGTCTAGGAAGTTGAACAAAACCATTACCACCAAGGCCGACTACTTGCTCCCATTCTACCTGAATGAGTTGGGCGGCCACTGGTTGAATGCGACGCAATGCATGGACGCGGGATCCAACGGCTATGAGGAGAACCACCTGGCGTATAATTTTGGTCTGAACGATCACTGGGCCCTCAATGTGAGTTGTTGAATCCGCTGAAGTTTCTCTATTGTCATCCAACTGATGGACCCTCGCCACAGAATACACCGTGGAGTTGGGGATACTACAAGAAGAGTGATCTTCCTGTTCAATTTGCTCTCGCCGAAGGTTGGACGATTGGTGACATGTACCAAGAGAGCGTGATAGCCTCCACCAACCCCAATCGTGTCACCTGGGTCAGCGGCTCCATTGCAGTCCCTGGGTCGCCACAGACAGCGGATGAAGGCGGCGTGTACATCGACAACAACGAAATGCCTGGCTGTGAAGCACCCGGATTGAACTGTTACCCGCTATCCTGGACCACCACGCCCGAGATCTACCAGCAAGCCAACGTTACGTGGCAGGTGTATCAAGACATTGACAACTTCGATGACAACCCTCTTGCATGGTTCCAACAGTACCAGACGGCAAAGAACGGCACTGTCCTCCACAAACGGGGCATGTCTTTCCTTGGACTTGATGCCTTCTATGAACAAGCTGCAAATGGCACCTTACCGATGGTTTCGTTTATCGTTGGCCCCACGGAACTCTCGGAGCATCCCCCATACTCTCCTCACGACGGAGCATGGCTCCAGCAGCAAGTGGTCAACGCCGTCACTCGGGGGAAGAACTGGAACAGTACTGCCTTGATCATCAGCTACGACGAGACTGGCGGCTGGGGTGACCATGTGTCTCCTTACCACGCCCCCAATGGGACGGCGGGCGAGTGGTTGGACGACCCGTTCGGGCTGTTCGGGCACACATTCTCCGGGCCAGGGTTCCGTCTTCCCTTTTATATCATCTCGCCCTGGACCCGCGGCGGCAATGTCTTTACCGAGAAATGCGACCACAACTCCCAGATCATGTTTGTTGAAAAGTGGTTGGCGGCCAAAGGGTTCAACAATGTGGTTACGGATCAGATGCCCGCCTGGCGTCGAGCACACATGTCGGATCTGACAGCAGCGTTTGACTTTAGTAGGCCAAACACTTCGATCCCTACCATACCCCTCGCAAAGGAACCACACAAGGATAGCAAGGGCGTCTGGGATGGCTCAGCCTTTTGTGAGGCACAATTTGCCGTCCAGCGGCCACCTGTGCCTTACGGCAACCAAAGCGAAGAGACTTCTCTCGTTTCTGAGAAAGGGTTCAAATCAGTAAGAGGGTATCTCACCGAGGGCCGCTATCTCACCTTTGAGTCGTCGGGCTATGCACTTTCCAACCCCGGTGGCGAGGCCGTAAAGATCAACGCGACCAAAGCGACGGCTTCACATTCCTCGATGGCGCAGCGGTGGGTGATTCATGAAACAGCCACAGACAGTCGGAAGTATACCATTAGCAGCGCAGTGGATGGGCGGTACATGGGGGCGAACTTGGAGCTGGTCAACAAGACCGTGGCGGTGACATATGCTATTCCTTACCTCGGGGGTGGAAAGGGGTACAACCTGGTAAACAGCGATGGGGAGTTGGTGACAATTGACGCTACGGGGAAGCTGTCGATGAGTTCGACTGTAGAGGGAGAGGCACAGGCCTTTTTCATTTACAGTGTGACATAGCTGGTGCCTAGCGCCACACCGCGAATGTGTTGAAAGAGTTGCAATGTGTGGGGAATGAAATCAAGCCAGACTCGTGAGAAAGAAGAACACAATACCACAACATGATGTTGAGGTAAATCTAGTACAAAAGACACTTGGGGGATTGATCACGGAAGGACAAGATACGTCGAATCCAGCGTGACAGACGAAATTCAGGTACGAGGACAAGGACGAGTACGAATACAAGGGTCAAACCTCTGTAGAACCTCTCTTAGATGTATCCCTTGCCTTGTACCTCTGTACCAGTGGGTGTTTATTACTTGTATGGTTCTCATGTAGATGCCTGCTTTGTACTTGTACTTGTCCCTGTCCTCTTTTGTTTTTGTTTGTGAGTGGGCGAGGTTCGGGTTTTATGGAACCTGTGACAGATTGGAAGACCGGACCGTGTTTGGAAGAGGTCATGTCGCCGATGCCGTCCTCTCGTGGCGCGTATTCTCGCTCGCCCCTTCCCCCCACGAAACATGATGCCCACTCCCCAATCCTCAGACGAACCGTTTGCCTTTTCGAGTAGTTGAAACCAGGGAAATAGACGAGTAGGTATGGACCATCAGAGGGATGACTCGTGGGGACTACCACTAGTTCGGCCTTGCGCACATTTTCTTTTCACTGTTTTGTGGGGGGCCAAGAAGAGTCAGAACTACTCGCAGACTCGACTATCGACTAGCACAGGCACGGTTGGCACTCGGTGAATCGCTGGTGACCAGACCAGACCAGAAGAGAAGAGAAGCTCGCTTCGGCGAAAACCACGAGTGTCGAACTCCTGGTCACAGCAACTCGGAAGCGCAGGTCGTCTATCAGCTGTCCTGCTATGGGGTAGTACGAATACTCGATAACGACTAGATGAGTACTCGGTACAGGTAGGTACTTTGGTAGTACGAGGTATAACTATACTAGATCGCAGAGGGAAAGGGGGCCTCTAAGCGAATTTGGGGAGGCGTGCCGAACAATGTGATTGGCGAAAGCGTGTTTCCCGAATAGGCAATTTGTCCAGTGTACCTCGTACCTGCCCCAATTGGGGGGCGAATCAATAGGCCAGAAATGGGGCGAAAGTCGCCCAAATACTTCGGTTTCTAGTATTCGTCGTAGCGCCACAGACCACGGATCCACTGATCCTCCGATCCACAGATTCACCACTACACAATGACTGACTGACTGACTGATTGAGTGACCGAGAGGAGAGGCCAATGGTTTTTTCATCCTACCAATTCTGTACTCGGTACAGGTTACTCGTATCTAGTCGACAAACCAACTAGCGAAGACCAGGGGAAGGGGAGATCTTGGGGTGTCAGACCCCGGTCCTCATGTCCCAACAGCCCTATAAGGATCCTGACTGGTTCTTCGGTACCACACTACCTATGACTGTACGGGTACTGGTAGGATCGTCTCTCGCCGGTCTGGTCCTTTGAGTGTTTCGTTTCTGCCTTTGTCGAGCCTTTCGCCATTGGGGAGCTTGGCGGGGAGCAAAAGTACCGGGGCGAAAGTATAGGGGACAAGGTCCAAGGGCGTCCAGGCAATCAGCGTCAAAAGCAAAAGGAGAGATTGACGGGTTTCTTCGTTTCCGAGTTGGAATGGGAGCGGCTATCCACTCTCGCAACGGAGTGACGGGTACAAAATAGATACTTCCATGGGAAGCAGGACACATAGCGAGAAAGGAGGGTCCTTGCTTGAGGGGTTTCTATGTCTTGAGTGGCACTGTGGGTGGTGGTCTCAATGCCAATTGCAAAGTCAAAGCTTGGTATGCTCTTGACCTGACCGTTGTGCTTGAACCTGCTGTCTGGCGGTGAATCGAACCCCACTGGAACCATTCCATGTCCGGTACAGTATAACGGACGGAGTATTATTACATCCTTGGTTTTCCCCCCTTCTCTAGCTTCGGTCCTTATCCCCGGTCAAGTTAGTCAATCAATCTACATACACTATTACACCACTCAATCTACTTCAATCTCGACCTAGTTTATATGATACACTCTACCTGTCACCCGTCGGTGGTCCTACATATGTACCTCCACGACTCCTCCCAACGTCTTCATCTAGCGCTTACCAACTCCTCAAATCGCGGTTCTACCGTTTCACCCACGGTTGGGACGAGTAGAGACAGTCTACTCATTCGTGGACGCGGGAACTAATCGAATCCTCCTGGCTTGGCGGTACTCCGATGTCGAGTAGTGGCGGCGACTATGGGTTTGAGTCCGAGTCTGGGTCTGGGTCTCATGTCATGTGGTGAGAGAGAGGGGGGGAAGGAGGAGGTATATAAAGGGGATTGACTTGGAAGACAACGTGAGTTGGGAACGAGAAGAACTGGATATCTATTCTCTCTATTGACTCCAGACATTACTTAGGTCTCGTTTACATACCTCTACCCTGAACCACTTCGAGTCAGTCTCTCCACTATCCATCGACACCACGAGATTCCCAACCTTTCCCCTCCTCTCCGCCGCCATCGCCACCCTCGTCATCTTCACGCCCCTGACGACCGCCTTCGACGGGATCGGCTGCATGACCGTGACCGAGGACGTCGACTGCGGCCGCGGCGAATGCCAACTGGGCGAGCACTACATCCGGTTCGGCGTGACGACCATCTACGGCAACCCGCTCGACAACTGCGAGTGCCCGCAGCTGCTGGGCATCTGCAGCGCCATCAACCCGGAGTGGCACGGCACCTGCTCGTGCGACCAGGGCGACCGCAGCATCCACATCCAGGGGTTCCCCATCCGCGTCTCCGACTCCAACATCGACTGCTGGTCCTGCACCGACATGTTTGACGACTCGCAACGCGAGGTGCGCCTGATTTGTCGGGGCCAGCCGGGCGTCACGAAGAGTAATGTCGGGTGTCCGCCGCCGCCGCAGTAGTTTTCCCAGAGATCAAGATGGGGAGGAATTGAAGATTTGGGGGTCCGGGGGATTTGTGGAGGTGGGAGGTATATACGGAAGAAGGGACTGCTGGGTGTCGAGCTACAGCAGGAAGTGTGAGTTGGAAGTGGGAAGGGATATCTCAGGCATTGGAGGAGAGCTCTATCGAGAAGCACAGCATACGGAAGCTACATCTCTAGAGAAAGCAAAACAGAATGACATGTCGAATTCATTCCTCGAGACTTGGGAATCATGGCTGGGGTCGAGAGATTTTCATCCTTATCCTTGTTCGTGACAACACTGGTGTTCTGTATACGGTAAAACCTCGTCCGAATTTCGATAAACGGATGGGTTGATCACCTGATACTCGAGAGCTGTGTGTCACCAAGGGCGTGTATGCACGCAGGTACTAGGTAGGGACGGAGGGACGTAGGTAAGTACGAGAAAGTCGAGGGTATCTATACAAATCACTTCTCGTGCGCGTTTCTAACTCGATCTGGAAGTCATACAAGTCACTATCAAGTAGCTTGACCCACTCTCACTATCACTATCATTACCACC